ATAAAATAAAATTTGTGAGCATATATCTTGTCATTTTGGAACAGGGTTTCACTATGCTGTTCAGGCTTGCCTTGAATTCACTTTGTAGCACAGGCTGGCCTCAAACTCACAGTGAAACTCCTGCCTCAGCCTCCCACATGCTAGTATTATTGTCGTGCACCCACCATGCCCCACTCAGGGGATATATTTTGGCATGAAGACCTTGGATTCAATCCCCAGGATTGACAAAAATCTATCAGTCCTCAATGAGAGAAAACAAAAACCATGACCAGAATGTCCTATGGTTCTAGAAAATAAGGAAGTGCTATGATGAGGAGGAGGAGGACAAGAACAATGACAAGGACAGGCTTACAAAGAACCTAGGAGCCGCTCAGGAGCTCTACAAGTCCAATCCAGTGCCATTTACATAATAGAGTAAATACTATTATGGGATTTTAATCCATGGGATAAAGCAATTATTCAAGTTCTCTGCTGATACAAAAAAACAAATTAGTAGACAAAGGAACCATTTTCCTAACATGGAATTCCAATTAGTAAATGTAAAAGAAGGAAACAAATTGAAGGCCCATGATAGGACAGGAGATGCCACCATGATGACTGTTAGTTGGACATGAGAAGCACAGTGACACCAACGCAGGGGCGAAAATGCACGACACAGGATTTTCAGGGTCTCAGCACACCACTCTGAGATATTTATCAACCATAAATGGAAAGGTATGAACAGATACTTCTGAAAAGGAAGCCATGTCACAGAGGAGAAAACCTCACACATGACCTGGTAGTGTAGGCCATTCAATGTCACAGTGCAGTGTGCAGAAGGCATAGGAACCCACTAAGGTTTTGTCACCAAAAATGGACAGCCTGTGTACTACCAGATGGAGATGAGATTCACTTGGACTGAGGGCCACTGCACAAAATAACAGTGAGTAATCTCCAAAAGTTATTAAGGCCATACAGGACAAGGAAAGACTGGGCAAGTGTCATAGAAAGAAGGAGAAAGAACCACTAAATGCAATGTGGGATCCCAGATGGGATTCTGGAACAGAAATGAGGATAGCAGTGGGGAACTAGTGAAATTTGGACGGGTCTGTGGTTTAGTTGGTAGCACCATACCAATGTTGATGCCCTGGTTTTAATAAACGTACCATGCTTACACAAGAAACTGATGGTAGGGCAGCATGGACAGAAGGTGCACAGGCTCCTGTTCCAGCCATGGACAGTGCGACCCACTGTGGCAGCTCAGCTGCACCCTTCCCCGCAGCTACTTAGCAGCTTCTATTCAGTTCCATTTGTTCCTATCAATGGCATACTATGGAGCTAGTAGAGACCACAAGGTATGCAGGACAGAAAAGGTGCCATCAGCCTTGTTGGCCCAGCCTGGCCCAGTGGAGGTTGTACCCCAACTGAGTCTCCCCAGGTTCTCCACACCAGAGACGGTACTTGACTAGGACCATAACTGCCCATATTCAGGTCTGCGATGCCTGTCGTATCAGAAGTGAGCCCAATATCCTGTATGGCTCCCACATAATCTGTGCACAGGACAGGGCAAGCCCATTGCCCACCGTCTCCTCACAGGCCAGCCTCCCTCTTGCCCCTTCCTACTGCCACCCATAAACTCCTCCCAGTGCCTCTTCCTTTCCAACCCACCTCAACTCTGCACAGATCTTCGAAAGACCCATAATAAAGCCTTTAAAAATACAATGGACTAAAAAATGGTACTACCGTGCAACAGAGTACTACTTAACCTTGAAAAAGAAGGAGCATCTGCTGTTTAAAACAACATAGATGGCCAGGAATACAGCCCAGTGGCACAGCACCTGCCCAGCAAGCATGAGGTCCTCAGTTCAATTCCCAATACCAAAAAAAAAAAAAAAAAGGATGAAACATAAGGACATTATACAAAGTGAAATACTAAGTCAGAAAGACAAAAAAAAATGGATGAAACATAAGGACATTATACAAAGTAAAATAGTAAGTTAGAAAGACAAGACTGCACAGTTCCACTCTAAAATAGTCAAATTACAAATTAATAAAACTGGAATAGGGTAGTAAGAGCCAAAGGAGGAGAAACAGAGCATTAAAACAAACAGGCACAAAGTTTCCCTGAGATGGGCAAGCTCCAGACATCTGCTGTATGACCTGGTACCTGTAGCCAACATCTGACTGTAAGTTGCAAAGTATTACAAAGTTAAAAATCTGTCATGAAGATAAATGTCCTGTAATTGTTAGCTACCACACTAAGACTAAGAGAGAAGAAGAAAAGAAAATGAGCTCCTGGAGGCTGTTTCTGTGAGAAGGATCCCTTAACCTGACTTTGGCCAAACGGCTGAGATCCGGTAACAGTGAAGGAGAGAAGTCAGCCAGAAAGTGACAGAAGGCATTGAAGAAGGGAGCACCTGGGCAGAACCAGAGCAGAACCTGGACAGCGAGCGGCAAGGTCCCTCAGGCCAGCATCCTGGCTGACATGTGTCCTCGTGTGCCATGTCCTGTGGTAGACAGGCTCTCCTCACTGGCCCCATCATGGCGCCCATCCTTCGACCTCACTTATCTAATCACCTCCCAAAGTCCCACCTCCAAATGCCATCCATGGGGACCAGAGCTTCAACATGTGAATCTGGGGGAAGCCACACAATTCATCCCCTGCAGGACAAACGATCAGCAGGAGTTACCTAGGCAGGAGCCAGTCATGAATGCTAATGATTGTCTTGATTGTACTTTTCTAAAACTTAAGAATTTCCCTTATAATTAGAAGGGGAAAAAAAGGTTCAGGTTTGCAAAGAGGCCCAAGTGCTCACTTAGTGCAACACCAAAGACTTGGGGAGAAGCCAAGCCTTCACACACAGCACATCTTGTACAGAGGACCCCAGCTTTGTGGTGTGGGGCAGGAACATCCCCAACACCGTATGAGTGCCATGTCCAAGCTGGTTCCTATTGTGGCTGCACATGAAGGGCGCCGTGTTCACCTGCCTTTGTGCCCTTCCCAGCCCAGCCTCCAATCTCTCTAGAGCCAAAGGCCCATCCCTACCCTCCCTGACACAGGTAAGGAAATCAGAGCAGTGCCTGGCATGGAGCACTATTTCCTCTTTCATATCTTTTATTATAATGACAATTATTCTTAATTTTTATGCCATTTGTCACAATCTTCTCAAACTTGCAAATTATCACAAATGAAGCTTTTGGTACCCAAATCCCAGAACTTGGGACTTGTTGATTGTGAACAGTTAATGACCACCAGCTTAAACCACTGCACGTTGGTTTCTTTGGAGGATGAGAAATGTTAGAAACAAGGACTGCAGCTATAGGTTTGTGACTGGTTCTTAGGGGTTACAGAACTAAAATCACCAATCCTCTTCACCTCTTCCTTTACATAGCTCATTTTAAACAGTATGGATGGCATCTGTGTAAATATTTTCAGTATGAAAAATGTCCTGAAACAATAAGCTTATATAGTTTATAAGGTTTGCCTGAAAACCTTATCTCAAACCAAAATTATATCTTCAATCAACTTCCAACGGAAGCTCAATATTGTAAAACTCCTTTTTTCCAGTCATATTCTTTGGAAAATGCCAACTAATGCAGGGCAATGCTACCAACTCTGCACCAGTGGGTCCTCTGTTTACCTAGTCACAGGGCAGCACCCAGCCCAGGGGGCCCTGGGAAAGTGGGTGTTGAGGCTCCAGAAACTAAAGCACAGATGAACCTGGAACTGGCGGTGCTTCCCTAAAACACACCACTGTGCCGACATCAACACGCTTGATGGTGTTCGGTTGACGTTCCTGGAAACTGTCCTAAATGGAAAATGCTACTCTTAGATGCTGAATTTACAGAAGGTATGTGGAGCTCTATCTGCCATTAATTAAAATACTGCAGGTAGCCAGAGGGAGTGTTGATTCAAAGCCACAAATCAACTCTCAGGGAGAGGCACTAGGAAGCTCTTGCCTGCTCTGCTTTCAGGCCTGAACCCTGACAGACAACGCTGTCCAGTCCAAGGTGGAGGAACAGTCCTCCAGCAGCCAAAAGACCCCAGGCCCCGTCTCTGCCGAGCAAGACAGAGGACATTTCTGCTGTTCTGCAAGTGAATGTTCAGGTCTGCAAGTCACCACTCTTGTTGCTTGTATTTGCAGACAGCAAGAAAAAAAGAAAGAAATTGAAAGAAGGAAGGAAAGAAAGAAGAGAGAGAGAGAGAGAGAGAGAGAAGGCTTTAATGCATTTTATGACAGCAGGAAGAAAATAATGAATCGAAGCCTAAGATGTAAAGCAGATTATTATTAAAGATATCAACTGTGTCTCCCAGGAAGCAAGGTCAAAGGGATATGCAGAAAAAATTTTTTCTAGGAAAACTGTTCAAGTCAGAATAGCCTTAACCGAGTCCTGAACCAAATCAAACCCTTTATTTTGCACCTTCTGATATTAATCAGCACCTGACAGCTATGCAGCCACCCCCGGAAACCCAAAATAAGTGAAATTTAAAACTATATTTTTAAAAAATCGCCGGGCAGCACCTTCCTGAAAGAGGCACAGCAAAAATGCTCAAAGGCTTCTCGCTGGCCTGCGATGCCCAGCACCTGCGCGGCCCCACCCAACGCCGAGTCCCGCGGCCTGCGAGCCGTGGGGCGGTGCGGCCCCAGCTCGGGCACAAACCTGGAAACAAGCTCAATGAAAATAGATGGCCAGCGGCCCGCAGAGGTCCTAGGGAGAGGCTGAAAGGACCCCCATCCCGGGCAGGGAGGGGCGCCTCAGCCACAACACCCGTGACCTGAGGGAGCCCCCGCGGCCACGGGCGGACACCAGCGGCCCCGGCGCCCGGGCCAACCCCGCCACCCGGCCACCCGCGCTACCCTATGCCCGCAGCCCTGCCGCGCAGGGCGCCCGCGATCCAGGACGCACCGTGCCAAGCGCCGCGGAGCGCAGAGACCGGGTTTGGGCGAGCGCGCGCGCGTACCTGCCCCGCCCGGCTGCTGGGAACGCGGGGCCCCAGAAGACCGCCGGCTGCTGCTTACCGAGGCTCCCCGTGAGCAGGCTCTGGCCGGCGTGGGCTCTGGGGCGGCAACGTCCGACGGCCCCGCTCAGCCATTGCAGTGGCGCTGCGGCGGGCGGGGGGCGCGCGTCACCGCGGGCGGGCGCCCCGAAAACCCAGCCCTCTCCGACCCTCCGGCTCTCAGACCGCTGCCGCCAGTGCGCCGGATCAGCGAGACCCTCCTGATTTCTCCAAATTGTTCGTCTTGTCCTTTAAGGAGCAGGTTTGCAATGTATTAAAATAAGAAACATGCTCCTGAAAATAACCGCGGTTGCTGCAGAGGAGTCTGCAGAGGGAGGGCAAGAGGTGAAAGCCAGCTAGATTTAACAGGGCGTTGCTCCCCGCCAAGGAACGCGGGCTTACGAGGTACTTATCCAGGCAAGAATTACTCTGGTTTCCTGCTGGATATGAGCAGCCATGAGAAGCAACGAATAGTTGCACGTGTGTGTTCCAGTCATTAACTCTTGGCTTGCCGTCTCCAAATGCTGCCTCCCGCAGCCCTCTTGCTGGAGAAATACTTCCTGGAAACTTGTAGCGAATGAATCATGTCATGGAATCCATAGTTCCATCCTTCTCCTTTTGTTCTTCCTGGGTCTTCACCTGTCAAGCAGAAAAATATTGGTACACACTTCATTCAGAGTCACTGGAGGGGGTAGATGAGTGAATAAACCTCACATACTGTAAGAGCAAACACTGTTTTATGAAAAGTTACATCCTGGTTACACGATTCTTTAGCAGAATGCACCAAGATTATAAAAGAGCACAACCCAAAATTCTAGCTATGGAAAGCAAAGTGGATTTCTACGCATAATTGGGCAGCCTCTCCCACTTTCTCCTGGACCTGTGCATTCTGGTCACAGGAAGGTCAGAGCCATGTGCTGGTTGTTGGAGAAGAATGCATGTGGTAACACAGAATCTCAGCTTTGCAACGGTTGACCTGTGAGGTCTTTAAAACAGGACATTCCAGACTGCTGTGACAGCAGATATGTCATAAAGCTTGTAAATCCAGTGGACATCAGCCCGTGTCTCAGTTTTTGAGGGTTTTTTTTTTTGTGTGAGAATTAGTTGTGAATGGGATAGTGTAAGAGTGAACAAACCATTCAGTCTCCAGTAATGGAAGCTCAGTGGCTGGAGAAGGAAAAACTGCTGAGAAAAATAAAGGGTCTGTTCTCATAAGGGGCCTGAAATAACTGATTTGCCACCAGAAGGCCATCTGGTCCCCCATGTTGTAATGCCGCATCCCAGATATCTTGCTAGTCTTGGTTGTGGATAGACTGAGAGGTCAGTTGTGGCAGTAGCTGGATCAGCCTTGGCAAGGCAGGAAGGGAAGTCCAAGGTTGTTGTGTACATTTGTGATCCGTCCATGCACTGCGGCCACTTCTGTGACTATTTTGTAACACATCTGCACACCAGAGAAGAGTTAGGTGCTCTCTGCAGAACAGGTCACCTTATCTCCTACTGTGAGTGTCTTCTGTGTAGAAGTATTTGGTGAGTGTACAAATCGGTCCATTCCAGAAGCCCTCTCCACCCACATGTCTTCCCAGCCAACTCACCTTCCAAAGTAAAGTAAAGGCTAATCAGATATACTGCTTTAAGTTTGGCCTGCTGGATGGAGTTCGCTTGCCCCACTGTTCACTAGGGCCGATCTGAGTATGATTGGGATGCTATCAGACCTCTTCTAGCCAATCCCAGCCTCACATGCAAAATCATCTGTATTCATATCTTTGTTGTCATCACCGCTGTTGTTCCTTGGTCAGCTTGCTTTAGGAAACTCTCTAAATGCAGGTGGAGCAACAGGGAATACAAGAGAGGTAGATGTACTTAGAGGGTGAGCTACACACTCATGAAACTTATTTAAATGTTTAGGACGTGTTTGAGAATAATCTTGCATTAGTTACTAGAACAGTCATGATGAAATACCACAGACCACATAGCCCAAACAGCTATTGTCTCATAGTTCTGGAGGCTGAAAGTCCAAGATCGAGGTGCTGGCTGGGCTGATTTTCCCTGAGGCCTGTTTCCTGGGTGTGCAGATGGCCTCCTGGATTAGGCCCTTTCCTGTGGCTAGGAAAAAAAATACTGAACAGCCACAATTTAAAGGAGAGGCTTATGATTTTTAGAAGATTTAGCTGGTTCCGAGGCAGAAAGGGCATGGGTGGAAGGGAATGGTGCAGGACAGCTGCTCATCCCACAGCAGCCAGGAAGCAGAGAGAAAAGGGAGGAGCACACTTCTGGGTCATGCCCCAGTCAACCCACCTCCAACGGGCTGCACCTCCCAATAGTACATTCAGCTACTAAACTCATCAATGGATGAATCTACTCATCAGTATACAGTCCCTGTAATCCAATCATCTTCAGTGTACAAGGCTTTGAGGGAACATTTTAGATCTAAACCATAACCCCACCTTTTCCCCTGAGTCCTCATGTGGTCTTTCCTCTGCATGTGTCTCTTCCTTATCTCATGAGAACACTGGTCTTATTGGATTAGGAGCCCACTCTTATGGTCTCACTTAACATTAATTATTCCCTTAAGGGCCTGTCTCCAAATAGTCACAGGGAAGGCGAAGACTTCAACACAGGAACTGGGGAAGTTCAGAGCATAACTGAGGCCATAATAAACCACATATATGCCATTTTTATGGTAGAGTTGTGTTGAGCATGTTTATTTCTGAGGCTTGATAAATCAGTTAACAACAGGTAATAATTGACAATTTATGTTGAATGATCTCTTAGTGAACTGTAGTGAGATACAGTACTGTCTCCTGACAACTCATGAGCAAGCCAGATATTATAAGCCTGCACCACCACACTCAGCAAAGGGGACTGGGTCTGGCATTCTTATATTCCACAGACACATGGAGCATCATAGGATTCCCTGGATCACAGGGCCCAACAGGGATTCATGCTGCCAGGAAGCCTAGTCAGCTGGTTAACACTTTTTTGCCCTGAGCCTCTCTCTAGTAAAGTTTGTATATGCTACTTTCAAGATCCCAAAAGGCACACCATTTGTAATTTGGTGCTGAAAGATACAAGTTACAACATGCTGCCTGCTACTCATTTGAAACAATGTCCTAACATCTTTCAGTTGTCTGAACTTTCAGAAACTACAAGATCTTGAAGAAGTTTTATAGATATTATTCTCTACCCTCTAGCGCTCATGCATCTTTAACCAGGCATCTGGGTACTGGCTACTTCCTGCTTATTGAGTCTTGTATATGTAATATTTCCAGCAGGATTCAGGGTAGTTGGTAAGGATCCCTGCAGAGCAAGTTGTGGAACTGAACAGTGTTGGTGTGCTATTGAATCAACACCATAAGATGAACTGATATCTATGCAGTGTGAAAGCAAACTCATCCCAGGATTCCACAAGGGTTGGTACAGAAAGAAAATGCATTTGCCAGTACTATGACCACATACAATGTACTGAGAGAGACTTGTTCCACTGTTCTAATAAACAGGTCATATCTGCAAAAGCAATTGCAATTGAAGTCAGTGTTTGATAAAGCTTAGGATAATGCACTGTCCTGCTCCATAACCCACTTGTTTTCCACATAGGCCAGTAAGTGAATTAAACAAGTTGCCATCCTTCAATTTTTCAGTATGCAGCACTGCTTTGGGCTTATTATTGGGAATGGGGATCTACAGTATCCTCCAGCACCTCCACCTGATGCCTTTATTCCATGGACCAGGGAGCCAACCTGGGAATTCTACCAGTTACTAAATATATCAGGCCAGGTAGCGTGGCACACACCTGTAATCCCAGTACTTGGGAGACTGAAGCAGGAGGATTGCCAAAAGTTTGAGGCCAGTCAGGGCTATTAAGTGTATTCAAGGCCAACCTGAACTTCACAGTGAAACCCTGTCTCAAAAAGACCAAAAAAAAAAAAATCAATTTACTCCAAGAAATTTCAGAAACTAAGGGAACAGCTGCAAGATAATTTACTTCAAAATGAAAGACAAGAAGGACTAGGATTGCAGGTCAATGGTAGAGCACTTACTTTGCTTTCTGACGTCCCTGCATTCAACTCCTAAGATCACATGCGCAGGCAGAGGTGGTAAAAAGCAGAGACCAGTGAGTGTCTGATGAGAAATGAAATACATAATTGGTCTCAAAGTGCTTCCTCCTGAGAGATTTATTAGTCACATAGGGGTCATTTACAGTGGGAAAACCTAGCAGACACTGATGTAACCTAGACATTAACATTCATAACATCTGAAATGGCACAGGTCAACACTGTACATCTCAAAATATGAGAACAGAGACATGTCATTTCTGGAGTATTCTTGTCCAAATTCATATCATATGAATTAGTCATGTCAAGATGAAGCATCTCACAAACCTAAATTGAGGGGTATATATAGAACAACTGTTACCCAGAACTCATAAAATTGTCAGGATCAAAACAGACAAAAGTTAGAAACTGCTCTAGGTTACAAGAGACCAAAGAGAATGACACATGGATATGACTCACAATCCAAGATTTTGTTTTCCTATAAAAAGCATCATTAGGATATGAGGAAATTTGATTAGCAAATAATATATCCATATTAACTTTCTGATTTGGCAGTTGAGCTGTGGTTATGTGAGGGCATGTCCATGTTTTTAGGAAATACGCACTAATGTATTTACAGAGGAAAGGGCTTCATGCTTATAATTTACTCTCAATCATATGTAACATATATGATTAATATTTTAGGAAGTTTAAGTGGAGGATATATCATACATCTTTGTACTAGTCTTACCATTCTCAAGAAATCTGTAGTTATGTCAAATTAAATTGTTTTAGTACTGTATTGCTCCTTCCATGATCTAGCATCCTTAGAAACCATTTTCATGCTGCCTTAGTTTTGCCAAAAGGTATTGGCCAATCTTGCAGCCCATGCATGTCCAAGCTTCCCTTCCTGAGTCTGACCCTGTCTGCGTGCTCCGTTCTGGTTAGCCTTACTTATGGAGTCAGGACAGTATAGCTGGGCGATTTGCCACTTTCTTGCTTGTGATGATGGTGGGCAAAGATGCAGTGACTGAAGCAGGACAGAGCCAGTTTCTTCAGACCATAAGATTATAAGACATACAGGGCACAGGTGTTCAGAGCCATCAAATCCTCCTCCCAAAGGCCATGATCCCGACTCACAATTCCTATTCTCCTTGTGCCTGGTGATATAAGGGACTATGGTAGCATCTTCAGTGGACACTTCATTCCATAGCCACTGATGACCAAAAAATGATAATCTGTACTCTCCAAATTCAGCCAAGTCAGGTAAGTCTCAGATTCCCATCCTTTATGACCTATATGTAGCTATTTATGGAAATAGCACTGTCAAAGGTCAGATGCATATAAAGAAAAACTATTTTTAACAGAAATTACTTTAATAATGCAAGAAATGTAGGCCTTATAAAGTCACTGAGTAACTGGAAGAATAAGAATGGGCTCAAGGATGGACTCTGGATACTCCCAGGAGAACAGCAGTGGTTCCTTAGA